AGCTTTTCACGCATGTCAAGTGACTGCCCCCACCCCCCACCCCCCTAGACTGGCTACACTCCCCCTGGCCCACGGATTTCCGAACATGCCAGGCGAGCAGACTGCCGCGCCGCCGCGTGGCCCCCCCCCAACTAAGTTAGCACCCAAGTAAGTACTATAAAGGTCTGATTGAGCACGTTAACATGGCACAATGGGCGTTATGTACTGTAGCAGTATATCTTTGCATCCTTCAAAATGGTGTGCATCAAGTAGTGATCGTTTGAAACAGGGTCAACCGTCACGTTCGAACATTTTCGGGATTTTTGCGACCCCCTGTTTTTGTTAATAAGAGTGCTAGACATGAATCCGTTGCGCCAGAAAGCGTCTGCCGCCGCAGACAGCGTCTGCATTGCGCGTCAGCCTTGGAGCGCGGCAGGTATCACCCGGGCGCTGGAAGAACGGGACGCGGCGAAGAAAAAATTTTAGAGGGGAATAACTTTCTTGGGACGTATTTTTTTGACTTGTTGAGGTAGATTTTGATTGTGCCTGAGGTGCGCTTTCAGAAAACTACAAGGATTGCCTAACTCTCCGGAAAGTACTTCTGTTAGAAGTGGAAAACCCAAAATTCTAAGAAGGCGCACCTTCAACTTTGAAGGCCCATAAAATCTTTCGTATGCGACATTTTGGAAATCTGTAAAAAGTTTCAGAAACTTCAAATATTTCTCTAACAAAACAGTATAAAAGTTTAGTGATTGTCCCCTTTTTCAAAAAATTGTCCCGTTCGAACATTTTTCGTGCAAAAGCGAGTTTTTGGGCTTTCAGCGACCATAACTCACTTCATTTTCATTTCTGTGATGCACTTTTTTCATGGGGTGAAAGTACAGGATTTGCTCTTTCTAACAAGCACCAAACCGTTTTTCAAAGTTCATTTTTCGAGAAAATCACACGTTCGAACATTTTGTTCCCATAGGTTTTTGAGCAGCACATGCGAGTTTTTGAGCTTTCAGCAATAATAACTTCCTTCAAAGAACTTGTTGGGGAGGGGCGAAGACATTTTTGAAGACTACGAGATTTCTGCTTTCTTATGTGTTTTACCGTTGTCTGGAAGAATCGTCCTCAGAAAATTAGGTCCCGAAGAACTTTAATTTCAGCCCCGAGAAGTCAAACCTTTCATAGGGATGCATTCAACTGTTCTTTATTCCTCAAGGAAAACACCGTAATTTGCCTAAAACTGTCTCTCTGTGCATAATAATCGAATCTAATGCGGTCTGCACAAGCAAGTCTTGCCCTCGGATACGCCACGCACGCGCCTGTGGCTGGCAGTCCTCGAAATTGCGACCCCCTTCCGACCAAAATGCGACCCCTTCGTTCGAACAGTTCGAACGGACGGTTGACCCTGTCACAACACTTCCTTTTCCCTTCCGCGAATTTTTGAGCCTGTCAGTGGGTGGATAGTAGGTTCTAATGCAATCCAATAGTCATTCTACAAGATAGCTCGAGGTACACTGACCAGGAGGTGTCCCTTATCCGACCGTTAGCTCAGCTCTTTCTTTTCACACTCTCAAATCGCAAGAATAGCAGTGTTACCAGAATTGTGAAATCTTAACACCTGTCACAGGAGATCTATCGAGTAAACACTTCTCCAAAAAGGTGTTCTGCCGGACCGTGTGACATAATCTCGCTCACATCCACGTTGCCAGAAAATAAAAACGCGTACTCTCTAACCGCAGATACCAAAAATGAGGGCGACCGTCAAATTGTGTAGAGCTGTTCGTGAGTTGTCATCAAAAAGAACTATATAATGATTACGACATAGCCATATGGTACAATCGCAGCTATTGCTGAGGTTGATAGAGTCGTACTCGGAAGTGAGCACGTGGTCATACACATAAAGGAAAAAAAGATAAAGCATTTGCCGTTGATCAATCCCTTTTTGGGATGCGGCACGCATTCTACTTCCATTTGTACATTCGTAGTGGCGTTTGAATGCGATGTGGCCTATACAATGACTTGCGGGGGCCAGCCGATGTACAAGTCAGTGTTTTTATCCTCCCAGACAAGTCTGGTACCAATTAACCGACCCCGGAGGGATGGAAGGCTTGGTTGGCCCGGGCGACTCACGACCCAGGATTTGATCCCCGGACCGCTCGCGTGGTAAGCGTGCCACTTGTCACTACACCACTTCCGCCGGTAATGCACATATCGCACACAAAGTAGTTAGAAACCAACGTTTGAATTGATTGACCTGCAATATGAGCTGCCACCGTATAGTCCCCGCTTGTGCCTTAGGCACTTGTCCTCGTTCTACAATGAACTCATAATTTACACAACGTACAAACGTTTCCGACTTACGCTAGGGGAGAATAAAACTCGTAGTCCTGATCATGGCTCGCAACAAAGACACGTGAGCGCTTTACCGATCACCGTTACTCCAGTACGGCTCTTGTTTAGGTAATTCGTAAAGTCAAATAATCACCACAAGAATCGCCCGCTTCATAGCCGGAATCCTTTGCAAAAGATTCCTACAAACCAAATGTTTACCCTGCTTCAGGGATCCAGAAGTGCGTCCAGGGCAGACCACACACCACAAGTGACGACGGCTCTACAAAATGTAAATGTTTTCTGCCAATGAAATGATTAGCCTGTTGCAGTTGTATTCTCTAGACGTCACTAGTTATATTCTCGTTGATCTTCTATTTGATCTCACTCTGTATGACTACTTACAAGATTCTTGGAGGTCGCGGTTTCCGCACTCGACGCTTTGCTGGTTTTTTCATGCAGAGGGTAGATCGCATTTTTTTTTCGCAACAAGAAACAAGTCGTTAAGCGTCAAGAGGTCGCTTGCACGAAGAATCAGTTCATCAGTGATGGGCAGGTTGGCATATTTATGATTGAAATGGTAAACATGAAACTCACAAAGTAGCACTTTCGAAAACTCCATACGTGTCGATCACGAAGGTCCGGTGGAGATCCATCTTCCCACCGCAGGTGCGCTGACAACCCGACATATACATGACCCGCACCCCCCATCATGCGCACAAGTTCTGAAAAAAGTTGGGCCGTCAGTTATTGTACACTTACAGATTCCAGCTACTTGTTTTAATGTAACAGCATGGCGGAATACACCATCGCGCACACAGCACGGCTATGTGGCGGTATGAAGCAGCTCAACCAAAATCCTTTGTATTCTAATCCCTCTGTGAACGCTCCTCCTCCCATTAGTACATGATATCCTCTCAGTCGCTGTGGTTTTTCTTCCCTGTCTACGATTGTTACGAATATGTTCGGTATTTTTTTTAATGTTTTCTAGAAATTCAGTGTCAAAACCAAGAAGCAACATGTGCACGTAAGACATCATGAGAGAAATACCTGATTAATGACTTATTTGTATAAAGTTTACGTTTAGTCGCTATTGCGATATACGAGGTCATAGTGGTGAAGGGATTGAGAATAGTGTCAAGCATCCCTGTTTTGTATGATTGGACAAACTTCAAGACGGGAACGGATGAGATTCTAGGGTACCCAGCAATCCTTACACTGCATGGAGTTCCTGTCCTTGTCAGGCTAACTCTGGAGATCCTCGCATTTGCAAAAGCGCCCCGAAATTTTTCAAGGAGTCTCTCAAAATTTCCATAAGCATTGCTTCTTCTAGATGTGTACACAAAAAATGTGAAGGACGGTGCGTAGTTTAAGGACATCCTGTTCCTCTTCGAAATATTTTCTATGGTTAACCTGTTGGTACAGTAATTCGGAGTAATATGCGGTTTTGGAGTTATGGTGGTCAGCGTAAGGTTCCTAACCAACGAAGCGAACTAGAGAGTGGCAGGAATGATATCCCTAGGCACGAGTCCAGGGCAGTGAAGCGGAAGCGAAAGAACCCACCCCCCGTTTGAGAGCCCAACGTTTTCACGAAGTTTCTTTGTCGCAGTGTCGAGCGGTCTTCAAGACAATTAGATTTTGTCTTGTTTTTCTCTCATCTTGAAACCTGCCCAAACTATGAACAACTGACATGTGCATTGGCTGAGGCATCAGCTCGCATAGGACTTTATGCAACAACCCTTCCTGTAGTGTTTTCAGCGAATCTCGAAAAGCAAAAACTTGTGCGATATTTTGAATTTTGACAGCAGAATTTTAAAAAAGGAGTTAGACCACTGGCGCTTGCAGAATTGCTCACCGCATCACCCCCTTCTCATCACCGGAGTCGCGGAAAGTTAGATCGCGTGTTAGGTTGGCGCGATCTCTAATGATGTGCGAGACAATTTTGCTCTAACTCCTCTCAGAACCGTGGAGATGTCTCATTATAGTCACTTTTTTACATCAAAAAGTTCTTCCGAGCAACCTCTCCAAATCAGAGTCCTTCTCAACAAAGACGTAGACCGAGAGGCATGGGGAGATGCGCGAATTTTCTCTTCATAAAAAACACAAACCTGAAGTACGAATATATTAGCGGCTTCATCCCTATGGAGTTCGAAGACGAATGACAACGAGCGCAATGAAGCTTAGCACTAATATGCTGCCTTCTTGCGTGGCCAGTTAGAATTGACACAGTTTGCTCCGCGCGCATATCGCGGCGCAAACACGGTAGTCTTCACGAAACTGGAGAACGTGTGAGAAATCATGTGATCCTAACTCCCATAACCAAAGCAGCTCACTATTGGATATGTCAGTGTAGTGACCTGAGGTTGGAGGATCGTCACTTTCATTGAAGTCCATCATACATGCGCGTGAATGCGAAGCTGAGTCGGTATATTTATCACAACTCGTAAACACCTAGCATTTTTCTTGAATCCTGACAATTTAGCGGTGATTAGAGTTTTGCTGTTAGCCTTAGAATGAAAATGAAATATGCTCCTTATAAAAAGTGAGATCTGATGCTTATCTTTGCTTTACATTCACACTTTCGCAAATCCTAAAGTTGAGCGGTTTAATGAGTTTGGCTTCGCTCGCTACCGCGCGTCAAAGTACATAGGCGGTAACAAAAATGAGCACAGCCGGGCCCTTGTGTTGAACAGCACTCATGCTTTTGATGAATCTGAGAGATGTTATCAACGAAGGTGACTATACTGCTGGTGATAAAGCAATTATTTACGGGAGCTCGTCAACCCCACAAACATCCATCATTTTTCGGAAACTAACATGGTCTAGCGGCCGAATAAGCTCAGATAACTAATACCTTTGTTGAAGTTGCACGATAGTTGTTTACGCTATCAGGACTTTGCATGAACAACTATCATGCTTTGGATGTTGAGATATTCTAGCGGTTGCAATTCTTACGTCCATTGTTACGTCTATGGCATTGAAAGAGAAGCACCAACACCCATTATGCACAAACACCGACCATCCCAGAAAGCTCGGAAAGATTAGCGGTCTAAGCAATCTCGATGGCAACGACGAAATCGCAAACTAAATAGTATTTTTTGTCGCCATCTAGATAACAACTTTAGCGGCTCTTCATTTTTACCCTGATCAATCTTATCAGCCCTTATCAGGTGTTATCGCTTTTTGTCCCCCACCCAGTATGTTCCCGTCCCACCCCCTGTATCATATCTTGAAATCAACTCCTGACGACTTCTGGTACCCGCGCTATGAATTTCGCGACACTTGCGTTCTAGCGCCTTTTATCAGCCCTTATCAATCGTTATCAGTTTCTGGCACCCACCAACAATGTCCCCGTCCCACCCCACATAACACTTGTAAGTATGGTTGCTCTGGTGTCAACGCGAGCCAGGTAACGGAATCGACGACTTTTGCGTTCTGACGCGCCTTATCAGCCCTTATCAATTGTTATCACTTTCTGGCACCCACCAACAATGTCCCCGTCCCACCCCACATAACACTTGTAAGTATGGTTGCTCTGGTGTCAACGCGAGCCAGGCAACGGAATCGACGACTTTTGCGTTCTGCGCGCCTTATCAGCCCTTATCATCGTTATTTAGAACCACGAAAGGATTAGCGGTTTAATGAGTTTGGGTTGGGTTTTCTTAATAGTCAGAAATGAAACTTATCATTCGCTGAAGACTTGTTTTTTAAAATTTATGCAGTCGAATTCTATTAAGTAAGCTGGACATATATATCGAATAATGTGCACGTACCTTTGTTTGTACTACTACGACTTACTACAATTTGTAAGTAGGAACGCTCTAGTGTCAACGCTGCGTAACGGAACTAACGACTTTTGCGTTCTGACGCGCCTTATCGGCTTTCGAATGTAAATGAATGATAAGCATTAGCTCCTCACTTATGTAAATAGGCATATTTCGTTTTGATTTTGAGACTGAATCCTATTCACCGCTAAATTATCTGAATTCAAGAAAATGCTGGATGTTTACAGTTGTGAGATAAATATGCCAGTTCAGCTCAGACGTTATCACGCGTATTCTCGATGAGCTAACACAGTCAATAGTGAGATGGTTAATGGAGTATCTCATGCTGATATTCCATGGGTCCTCCAGTTTCGCTAAAGCCTGCCGTGTGATGCGCGCGATAGCGGGCGAAGCAAAACTGGTTATATGTTAATGCCGAGAAGTGCGTGTCAGGCAAAGCAATTCTTATCATGTTGGCTTCCTGTGGCATCAAAGGCATTAGCATTCGGTGCCACTATGACGCTATTCTTGCACAACAACGTTCAACTCTGGTTTCCACCTTCCGTTCGAGATTGTTAGTGGTTTTAGCCATAAATAAGACTGATTCTTTGGGACCAGTTGCAACTTGTAGCCACTGTGGACTGGCCTATTATGCAGATTTTGTACTTGCGGGAGGACATGAAACACCAACGGAAACCATGGTGCTAAATTCAATCCACAACACTGTGGAGGAAATGTTTGATTGCGAATTTGTTTGTGAGCTCTCCCATTGATTAGAAGACGTTGATTCTGGATTACGTGACTACATGAACTCTCTCCTGTGTTCTCTGCCGCGGAAAGGCCAGAGCGCAGACGATTAGAGAACGGCGCCTGGCTCGGCTCCAAATCCCAAGAAGGAAGGTGACAGCCCTAGGACTAAGCCTTGGAGGGAGAAGGGACTCCGGAGTGGGTGAGCCAATTACATTGTGGCAAAGTTTGGATGTGTCAGATCACAATAATCATAAGCCGCTGTTTAAGCGAGAGAGCGCAGGCGAAGCATCGAGTCGACGCGGTTTGAAGGACCGAGTTCAAGTTGTCAGTAGACCGTTGATTCCGATATGATTTTCAGAAGATCGATAACCATTGGACGTTCGAGAAGTCTTAATTCTAAGATGCTGACAGAAAAAAAGATATGGACAGAATTCGGAAGCTCTTTTCACAGAGCTTCATTTCTATCCGGAACTATTTGCCATTCTCTGTGTTCAACTTCTATCAGCCGTTCCCGAGGAAACTTTTGATTGTCCAAAGGTTCCAACTTTTTCACAACTACTCGAGATTGAATTTTGATTATGCTGTAGAGCATAAGTATCGGATGAGGTATGATCTGTTCAAGATTCATGAGCTATTTCTTGTCACATTAAATTTGTTCTCATATTTTTAAATTGAGCCGTGTAGGTTTTAGTTAAGTGGTTCTTTGTTGAATTACACTGGTTATAACAGTTTTCTAGAATTGTATTCTGTTGAGATTTTTCTTGGCATCTCAGTCTATTGAGTCATCCATTCCCAGTTACAGCGACTATTGGCCCTTTGTAGTAATAGCGGCCCTGAGATGGTATTGGATCCGTTCAATGTCTGACGCGACTTGCTGTGTTGGCGGGTCACTGCTCATCATCAGCATGTTTCCCAGTTCCGATTTTGAATCCATGCCGTTTCCCAGCACTATAATAAGCGAGACGAACGAGTGCATGATAAGTGAGTGCTGCACTGATTCTGGTTACAAGGCTTCTGTCAACCAAAGGGTGAGAGCGTAGCTGGAAAAGCACACACTTTGTGTCTTATTGGGACTAAGCCTTTTGAAGAAGATAAAGAAAGAGGAGATGCTGTGATAGTGTGCACTTGTGAGAGCTCCCAGACATCACTACAAAACGCTGAACCGCCAAGGCTCACGGTTGACAGATGTCCTGAGACCGATTTTCCTGCTTGATATCGGAACTTTGCGGTAATTAATGGTTGATGTGCAGATGTAGATTCACTACCGATAACAAAGAATAACAGAAAGAATGTGCCCGGCGTCGAGTGCAAACGTAGCGTAACATGCGCATAAGTTGAACTTCTCCGTGGGAGAATACATTACAACAGCTCCTGCCCCTTATACCCGAATTATTAGTTACTTACATGCGATGAGAATACCTAGAGTGACTTTGGGATGATATTTTTCATCAGTTAGCATTTTTAGATCATTGTTTGAATTTTTATATACCTTTTATAAAATTCTTCTCCGCAGCTGAATGAATTGATGCCAAGTGAGAATGATCCTCATTGCAGTACTTTTCTGCGTCTCGAAAATTTATTATCTTGTTTCTAAGGACGTCCGTACTCACCAGCTGAAAAGACAATGATGAAATGAAGGTTCCAAAACTAGGAAAAACAATCAGTCCAATTTCTGTGGTAGCTCTGGCACTCACTTTAATCATTAGTTCTTCGGGAGCATTTGCAAGTTCAACCCATTCTCCATTTTTGGCTTTTTCAATTATTTCCTCATCGATTTCAGCATAGGAGATTGGGAGCGAACCCCACAGAGCGATCAGCAGACAAAGAACACAGAAAAATTCCATCGCTGAAATACGTGGCAACCAAAATGGTTTCCACCTTAATCTTCGTTCTTATATATGTTCCTTATCACGTTGCTTATCGCACTACGAACGCTGATGCTTTCATCATGTGAAAACGTGTAATGTTTGAAATTTGTTGCAATGTTTCAGAAGTTGAATACAATCTTGTTCTTACACGCCATGACGTGAATAGATTAAAGGAAGTGGCACGCGAGAGCTTAAGCGCACAAAGGAACTATATGCGCACTCTGACCAGGAAAGATCATTTGGTCAACCCGGCCATTTGAAATGAGATGTATATGTGTATACGCGCCTTGGGACGCTGAGCTCAAATATGTGTTCCTTATCTGCTGAACTCTTCTCTGAAAGGAATTATGAAGCAGAAAAGCGCAGGGGCTGTGGTCGAGGCTCACGAAAAAGAGGTCAGGGGATCAACTCCCTGGCGAGTTTGTTCTTTTGCCGTTTGCAGTAAGATAGCTAGGAAGACTCCTAACATTGCTAGTCCAACATGCTTGCGTATAGTTAACAGTAAAAAGAATTTGAAGGGCAATTAATAACGAACTTGGGCGGCATCGCTCCTCACTACTTTGGGCGCTTGTAGCGCAGGCGCCAGGCATTTTTGCTTCGAACAAGTATGATATTCGTAATCAGGGAGTCCAGACTCTCCCTTTGAGCAAACTTCTAGCGAATTCTGAAATTTTGACCTAACCTCGAAAATTTGGGCAGTCACTTACTCACCGATCCACCAATCCATTACAAAAGGCTGGCACTTGGGTAGAATAAACCTTTTAAAACTTTTCATAATAGACAAAAATTGTGTCTGGCTTGCCCGTCTGCATCATCCAAAGATCTGCAAAGCATTATTTCCTAATACAACACCTTCTCTCCCCTTTCCCCCGTCGTCCATGATTGGTCAACCCAAAAAAGTGGAGTTTGAGGAGTGGTAATCCCATCACTGCTCCGCTTTTTCTCAATTAGTTCATCGCCTCAGATTTGGCGAAAAACTCGTTTTTAGGGGTAGTTTGATCCCCTGAATACGAATATCGTACCTACTTGCCACGGAAAAGCATAGCACCTGCACTACGGGCACCATGGCACTCACAGACAAGTAGTGCTTAAGTTTAAGAGGATCTGCTTGCAAACTCTTCGTAGATGTAGCGTCGGGCGACCATTGATAAAATAACAGATTCAAAAAGGCTTTTCAGCCATGTTGGAAAAAAAGCAAAACAACAAACCCCGTAAGGGACCGAACCCCCGACCCCCTCCGTGAGAAGCAAGACCGCTACCAACTGCGCTACCGAAGCTCACATCACCAGTGCCTCGGTTCTCCTTTCGATACTTTTATAATGCGGCTAACATGTGATTGCAGGCAAAACACTGAAAATCAAGGGCGGCAACAAAAACCCTCCGTAACTCCTTTCAGAGAAGAGTTCAGCAGATAATGAAAGCAGATTTGAGTTCAGCGTCTCATGCTGCGTACAGAAATGTGCACCTCATTTCATTTGGCCGGGTTGGCCTAATGACCCTTCCTGGTGAGCAGTAAGGGCGCTAAGGGAGCGGTATGTAGAGCTATTACGACGAATACGACGAGAGGTGCGCTGGTTGCTGAGGCCAACCCGCAATCGCTACTTTGGTGCAAAATGCAATGCATGTGTACACATCTTGGCGTATTCAGTGGAGTTTTGTAGGAAACTGAAGCCCACCGTTTCATATGCTAAACTTCTTCCACAATTTTTACTGCCGTCTACACTTTCAGGGTCAAGCGAACGGTCGAGGAAATTTTGGAAAATCCCCCCTCCAGAGGCCCAGTGAACGAAACAAAACCGCCGTTTTCATGAGTGTCCGTAGAAATGATGTTGTGATCATAGAATTCGGTTTATTCTTGTTCTTATCCTCAGTCTACTTCCCACCGTTCGACTCTTCTTGAACTACACGTCGTCCAGCTATAAACTGTGAAGCAGCTCGGTGTACGACAGAAGCAGTGTAGGAAGCAGTTATACATAAGAAGCGTGGCAGGCACTATATCCTTCTATTTTATAAAGCGCTAACTTTGTGTGTCGGTTTGTGTATCTGTATGTGTGTGTATGTATGTATGTGTGTCCGTCCGCAAAATGAAGTGAGTGAGAAGGAAGCTCATGGGATAAACAAACCGCTAACAAATCGGGTAGCTTACAGGATTTGAGATATCAATGTTTTGCAGCAGTAGCAAGATAGTTGTGATAACACTCTTAGGGCTATATAGACACCTAGCATACTTCCGTTCATTCCACATGGTGCTGCAGTGGCAGCTGGGGGGCAGTGGAAAGAGGAAGGGAGGATGAGGAAGGGAAGCGAATAATCTACCGTCACATGATTGTGTCCCTTCTACTGTTTGAAACACCATTGTGTTGCATACGCGTCACTTCCAGGAGGTGTTGGTGTCACAGGAGGAAGGGACCATAGCAGAGGATAGAAAGCTTGCGCAGGAAAGGAAGGTCCCGGCGGTTGACGGGGGACTAATCTATCTATCCGTTTATATCGGTTCTCCACCACAAATTCCTTTGGTGCGTCGGCCGGGAATAC